TGCCCCCTCTCGCCCGGCCCCCGCCCCCGACCCGGCTCCACCCACTCGCCCCGCGGACTGCCGGGACGCGTAGTTTCTGCCCAGAGTGTCCGCAATCAGAAACCACGCCCACCCCGGAGGGCCGAGCAGGGTGAGGACCGTTTGCTGCCAGAGCCATCTGTACGCCTCTCGAGATAGTTTATCACTTGGCCCCCACCCCCACCCCAACAGTAGATATAACTAACTCATCTGCATGGTTTCTGACATTTAGTAGGCACGTTTGACGAATGGATGAGTCCAACCAAGGAATGAATGCATGCATTGCCACTTACATTTCGGAAGATACTGTTTAAACGGAGCTAATTCCATCAGGAACCTCTAAAGTATCGATCATAAGCTGGGGAGTGGCTCAGTGGGTACTTGTTTATCGTTCTTTCTTCTGTATATATGATTTTTGTTACTTGATGTGATTGAAATGTTTTATAAACATACATCACTTATGGATATGTATAGTGAGATACTAGGAGTCGAATGAGAAAGATTTGATTAAATTCGAAACAAACACCTGCCAAACAGCTATTATGTCTAAGTTGCTGTATGCCTTAGTGGGGAAAAAAAGTTCAAGAAACTTGCCAGTTTCAAGTGTTACGGAGTTTGGGGACATTTGGGGATGCTCTTGGGCTGCAGCCATTTTATTCCTCCTTAGCTGTCTTGTGTCAGGTGTTTCACAGAGCCATCGGGGCCTGGCCATCTCCTAGGATGTTTCAGACTATCACTACCCATTTTTGAAACCTCGGAAATAGAAATAGTCTTATAAAGCACCTTTAGTCAGCTGCTCTTGTCGTCGAGTTCAAGGCATCCACCTGGTTGACTAGTGGCTGAACTGCAGTTAGTCCTTTCTTAACTTAAAGTCATATTTCTTAACCCTAGTTACGTATGGGGTCATTTGGGGAGCTTTGTTAAAACTGCACACAACTTGGGCTCTGCCTATTAGCAGACTCTCCCTAGGCTGATCCTGAGCTGAGGCAGGTGTATTTTAATAAGCTCCCCGGGTGATTCTGATATAGCAGGCAAGGCTGTTATCATCCTCTTGTTAAAAGTAAGTGCTTCTGGATGAAGTAACGTACCAAAATTTAATCATCAAGGACTACATTTCATTTAGCTTTTAAAGCCCAAGATGCCTGGGGCATAGTAGATGCTCAATGACAGTTTATTGAATGAACAAGTGACTTTTAGCCAAAGAATAAGAGGAAATGCGCACAAATACGTCATTGCCTTGTGTTGCATTTTTTAAAAAATCACTTCAACTCTTGTTCAAGAGAGTAATAATACATTTAATTAAAATTCTGAACAAATATAATCTGTATTTCTAAAGTGACACTGTATCAATGTTAATGGCAAGTGTGTTGTTGATACAAAGAAGAAAAACAGGAAGATATTAATACACCCCATTAAAAAAATAGAGAGAACAAAGCTCTGAGTTCAGATCAGGTGAGACTTTCCTGGCCCACGAATGTATTTATTGTCTTGGTAATCTCTAGACATATACTTCGGATCTGGTTTACTCACAAGATCAGCCCACCCAGGGGGTTGCCCATCTGGATGGACAGCCTGGAATTCTTTTCTGCAGTTAAGAAAGGCTTTTTATTAGGCTCCTTTTGGCCATATTTCTGCCAGTTACCAGGACCTTTTCCTCCTCTTAAGTTTTGTTACTTCTGGTCTCTCTCATAATCTCACACTTTGAAAAAAAAAAAACAAGGGGGACCAGCAGTTACTGTAATGGCTATGTCTCTGGACTCTCGCATAGTCGACCACGGTTCGAGTCCTGGACCTGGTGGCTTAAACTCATGCCGGGTACGTGCACATGCGTACCTGAGATACTGAGAGGAGAATGGAGGAGAAGCGATTGCAGCATGGCCATCCCCCTGGGGGGTGATTTCTCGCTTTCTGTCTCTCTGTCTCTCTCTGTCTTTCTGGCAAGCGCACACACCCTATAGCAAAAACCTCTCCAAAAAAAAAAAAAAGAAAAGAAAAGAAAAGAAAAAAAACAAGGGCAATGTGTACAAATCTCCGAGACAAAAGGACTTTTCTGCCATTTCAATATTTGTGATCTCTAATATTTGGTTATTATTAAGGCAGAAATAAACATTCCATAGGATTGCACAATTCCTGAAGGAATTTATATGAAAATCTCAGAAAAAAATTTGAGGGGAGGACATGGAGCAAGAGGAAGAAGATGTTTCTATCACTTTAATTATAGCCCTTCTCCTCCCCTCCCTCAAAGTTAAAGTTAGGCAGTCATTTTTACATATGTATTCCATTTTCTAATCATTATCTAATCATTAAAGTATGTCATTTGTTATAGCCAATGTTGCAAAATATTGACAAAAAGGAAATGATCAATTATCCACTCATCATCCATGGAAACTGAAATGTAAGAATACTCACCTTTCATGTAGCAGGTAATTTACAAGCTTTGCCATGGGCTGGGTCAGGACTCACTCAGAATGATGAGATTGCTTTCAAAGAAAATTTTCCATCACTTTTAACAAATCTTACAATATCAGTTGTTTGAAGGACTTGAGGGAGTTTTATTGGTATCTCCTCAGATGCTCAGTACCTTAGAAAGGCAATGGTGTAACCAAGATTCCCCTTCCGTGTGTATTTATACAGAAGTAAAAGTGTTCTGTAAGGAACACAGTCATTCATAGTCCTGAATCAGAATTGTGAAATAGTGGTAGCTGGGATGATAGAAACAGCGCTGTTCGTCAATTTACACCCGCAACAATCCTGCAAGATTCATTGACCCATTTATGTTTATTTGAAAAAATATGTATTGAGCACTTTCTATGTGCTAAATGCTTCTTTTGATTTTAGACAAGGTTTATATAATTTCTTCCATTTTTCGCTTTGCTTCATACAGCTTTCTTCAGTTAACAAAGACAATAATAAACCTCAATTTTCCATTTCTCCTTCTCTTCCTAAATCAATTAGAAATGCTTTTGCCACTCTAATATTGGTTTGCGTAATGTATCTTTTCTAATATAACAGGAAATCTGTGGGAAAGGTGGCTGCTAAAGTTCATTCAATGGCTCAGTAAGACTAGGGCCATTATCTGTATTGTGGCTTGATCCTTCCCAGGTGCTTCCAAAATACATGCCGGAGTGTTATAAATCAACCCTGTCTGTATTCAAGGCAGAAAGTAGAGGAAAGAGACAATATCTTAAAGCCATTCTTTTTCACAGTAAAGCAAAGGTTTACCCAGACGTACCACCAGCCAACTACCCATTATTTCTTTTCCTCTTTTTCTACAGCTGGGACTTGACACATTCCTCACTTGAACAGAACCAAGATTCTGATATCAAGATAGGAAAGGGATCAGCCGGACAATGGGCGAATACCATCTTCTAACCCTTCTCCACATATTTTGCATCTTTGAATAAAACTACATTTATATATGACTTCATATTTTACAAAATACTTCTTTATCTTATTTATACTATACTCATAACAATGAGTAATCTGAGGCTCAACAAAGTTATTTTTTCTAATTTGTACAACACATGACAGAGTTAAAACTTAGTCATTTGGGAGATCTCAAATCCAGTGACCTTTGAGAGATGGAAAAGAAACGAAGTGAGCCATAGGATATCCTCAGCTTACTGAACAGTAAGAAGTGGCCAGACCACGGTACAAAGAAGGGAACTCAGATTGAGCCTTGCAGAGTTCCTGATTTCGGGGGACAGAGCTGAGAGTCCAAGGAATTTAAGGAGCAAGAGGTCTCAGGACAGAGTACCAGAAGAGAGCTGCAAGAAGAGAGGTTTGCAGGTTTACATTTCCATATTCAGTTTAGTACAGATCAGTGCGTGCATGGGAGTAAAAAGCCCAAAGTTAGTCATTTTATAATCATGAAGGAATGAATTCATCAAGAGAATATACCACCCAGTTACTTTGCTTTAAAGTACGTGAACTTCAATAAGAAATACAAAAATCTTCAACGAGAGTCAGAGATTTTTTAACAACTCTCAGTATTTGTTAGAACAAGGAGGCTGAAAATAGTGAAGACATGATGAACCCCAACAACACTATCAACAACTTCATCTAATTGATATTCATAGACTGTCTCATCCAGCAATA